CAATAAATCCAACATGTATTTTGGATTCATAATCAAGATCTTTTGATGCGATTTAGATTTGGATTTTAACTCTGTCATTGTTTGGAGTTGAATTTGAACAAATTTACCAATGCTTTGGTTTTTGTGACGTATATGTGTCAGACAAAGTTGAAATTTAGTCAAAATAGAAGAGAATTTTTAAAAGCGTGAAAGATCAAAAATAAATTAAAAAAGATGACAGAAAAGAATGAATATTGTATATTTATATATAATTATGTTTAAATTTAAATAAAGACTAGCTGAATCTTAAAATTTGTAGAGTTCGCGAGTACTCTCAATTGAAGCTTGACTCGTTTTATCAACTTCCGACTATAAAAGAAACCTTTAAGCTTATGTTGATTGTTATTATCTTTTTAATTTCATCGATTCATAGACATCACAATCGTTATCAAATTGCTCTCATATAATGTTTGTCCGCAAAACAGCTATGTATTTATTTCCGCAATTAACTACAGGAAATTTGAAAATTTTTGATTGTGTGAATAGATTAATGATGTTGCTTTTGGTTTTAGTCAAGATCTTAGGAAAAGACAATCAGAATTGAACTGTTCTAGCTGATCTTGACATCATGAAATCTTTAAGAAAAGATCCACCAGAAGATCGACTAAACTTACATGGTACCGTAGGCCGCTAAATTTTGTTTTTGGGTTTTTTTAGCTCAAACGAGAGATCATATCGTGAAACTTATGAATCCAAAATATTAGGTTTTCTGATGCATTTACAAAAAATGTCAAAGATTATAATCTTCCAATTTTGGTAGTTAAACCATAAAAATTAAAAAAAAAGCTCTTTTCACATTTTGATAGTTTTTTTGAAATTTTTTTCTGTCACTGATCGTCCCTTTGAGTCTGGTAAGATCTCAAAAGATGCAAAAAAGAATTTTCTACAAAATGGACGATACTAATGGTCATTATATTATGTTTTAGTAGTCGATCGTGCCTTCACAATGGAAGGAGATCTATGCTTGGTGATCGTTATTTGCTAGTAATTTGCCTCTAACCTCATCTAATCATGATGTTCCAAAAGATTGGATCGAGTCTCTGAAAGTCCTCTCAATTCTGCATCTTTTAAGATATCACTCACAAGGCAAAAATACGTGCACAGAGTTTTAGTGGGAACCACAATTGATGCACTTGAAAAGTTCTCCAGAAATATTTTGACTAACTATTCGCTACTATAAATACTACATTTGTTTCAAATAAAAATATGACTCCAGATTCATGATCAGTGTCAAAAACTTAGTATAAAATGCTATTTGGTCGAATGTATAATTTATAAATTGAAGAAAAAAAGGCAACTAGAAGTAGCCTGAATTTATCCCAGCGCACGTATTCGTAGTCGTCTCATTCAACCTATGTAGCCTTTCATTAGAAGGGACAAGATGAAGTATCTTATCTTATTTCCGATAACGAGACTCCAAGCTTTAAAAGTATTAATTAACATTTCTTAGATGTCGTTTTTATATTGAGAAAATTGAACTTTTTTCTCATAGCTGTGCGAAAATCATATGAAACTGTGAAGACTATGTTCATTTTCAATAATTTTCATTATTAAAGTTAATTGTTAGTGAAAAATAAATATCATGTTCAAAATCGTCAGTTCTATCAATATTACTAGGAAAAAAAGGCTATCACGCACAGACCTCCCTTTCGCTCTGGAGACACAATCAATTACCAAAAACTCATTGTAATGACCACTGATATAGTCTATTTTGTAGAGAATTGTATTTTGCATCTTTTCACACCGTCTTTCATTCAAAGAGGCGATCAGAGACTGAAAAATTTTCGAAAAATCATAAAAATGTAAAGAAAACGATTTTTTAGAAAATTTTTATTGGTCCAAGAACAAAAATTTGAGGATCGTGGTATTCGAAATATTTAAGAAGTACATCAAAATAACCTAATAATTTGGATTCATAAGTTTCACGATATCATATCTCATTTGAGTTAAAAGAATGTAAAACAAAATTTATTAACAGTTGGTCCTATGTAAATTTGGTCGGTCTTCTAGCAGTCCTCTCTTATCCGAATCTTATCAAGATCTTTGGGATGGATGTATCAGATATAATCAAAAACTAATTTTTTAGAAGAAAAGGAACTATCTTCTCAAGACCTTGCTAAAAAAATATGTCACTAGAGTTATCCATTGAACAAGAAAGAAAAACTAGTTGAGTTTTGTGATAGGACAACTTTGATTCGTTTCATTATTGTTTATATGCAGAAGTGATAAAAAAAATGCATTGAATGGATTTCAGAAGGAAAAGGAACTGCAGATCTAAATTATAAGAACTTGAAATAAATAAATGAAGTAGAAGTCGTTAGTTTTATTTAAGTTATGGTAAAATTGACGTATATATTAATTTGTTCGCAGTTTTTGTTTTGAACTTCGGTAGTGGACTAAAACAATACATGCTTCTCATCTGTTACATTTTCTTACTGTTGATCCTAAACTTTGCTTCAATTAATAATAGTAATCAAAACGAACTTCTTTTTTCAACTAAAAAGAATCATTCAAATCACAATTAAATAGTGAACAATTATTGAACATCAATCAAACACATACTATACTACTAAGTGATGATAGTTCATTCTCTTGAAATTATAATGAAAAACAATCAAAAAATGAAATTAACAAAGAATAGACTCAAGAAAATTTAGCTGAAATAAAATGCATATTTTCTAATAAAAAAATGATTATTATGATATAATTAACATTGATAAAGATACAATATAAGATTAAATTGTTAATGCTCATAGAAAATTAACTTTACTTATACATTCTGATTTGCACTACTGAAAAAAATTTGAAAATCAAAATAAAGATATCAAGCATTTTCTAAGTTTAAAACAATAAGTTATTTTTATATATTAATTGAAAGAGAATTTTGAGTTTTTATTAAAATTCTTCAGTTTTTTGTGAACATTTTAATTGATTATTCTTTACCAAGACTGCAAATACACTTTTTCATCTCTAGGTTATCATCAATAAACAACAAAGATATTCACAATTGAATCTTTTACATTAAATAACAAGAAGAATGACGAAGTTTCTAACATTCTCATAGATAGAAAAGAGTGTTGTTTTTTTTTTATTAACTATCAGAGAAATCATTCGTTCTTAGTTCATGATTACCAGAGACAAAAAAAGAAGCACGGAAAGCAAATTTATTATACAATAAAGCTAACTATTTTGTATGAAATGTTATCATATTAATACTTGAAGTTATAATTTGTATCATATTTTTGAAAAAAATGATAACAACATTCGTATTTATTGGTTGTTGAAAATATTTCAAAAAAACAAAGGCTGTCTTCAACTTATGAGACTGGGTGTGGGTGAAGAAATGTGTCAGAAAATAGATAGAATAAAGCAATCTTCCTGTAATTAGCAACAGCGTCTATATACATTGTATTTCATATGCAAATCTCACAGGAATTATACTAACAACCTTTGTCCTTGAAGATCAATTATTCAGATCATTCGTACAGTATCTATATTTGTTTATTAGGCTTTATCTGATTGTGTTCAATATACCATCTGATCATTGTGTCTTGTTTTTAAATCACTGATTAGTTGATTTACTTATAACTCAACAATGTTCATAAATGATTCATTCCTTTACAAGAAAATGACTTGTCATAATAGAAGAATTGTAATGATTATTGAATGTTACACTTCATATCTCTTCTATTCTTTTCTTAATATGACTTCTTATGTATAGTGCTGATCGTGGCAATGTGTGTTTTTATTATTTTTGTATCATATGATTAATATATAAGCATTTGATTGTACTGACATTAATGTGTAAAGTGATGTAACGGGTCATTAAGTATTGTTATGCGGGCTAATGATAGAGCCTCTCTTCCTGTTCGTTACAAAAATATTTTTCATATTTGTTTAAACCATTCACTTTTTATAGTTGATATTCTCTTTCAAGATAATATTTTTCTCACTATGCAAAATATGTTTTTTGTATTGTGCTTAATACGTACACGATGATTCAACGCACCTTTATTTACATTGCTAAATGCGAAATATAGTATACATTGATGTTTTATGCTTTCCAGGTAATATAAAATTACTTTACAAGCACTATTAAAATCATGCATTGTTGTTATTATTCATTTTATTCTTTTCTTTAGTCAAAGATACTTTATCTTCCTATTAAATGTTTTAACATAAAAAGAAGAAAAAGCTGATAGCACATGGTTTATATCGTTGATCAACATGTACGGTATATTTATGAATATACTAATTTACCTTAATTGCGTTTAACCAAACAAAGCATAATCATCATCATATGCTTATTTGGTTGCTCGAATCGTTTTATTAACCAATAATTATTTAGAAAAAACAATTCGAAAGGTAGCCAAATAGGTATCGTTCGTGATTCATACGAATTGCGAAGTATGAAAAAAATCAAGTTTTTTTCATTTAATATTTTAATGTTACAATATCTGTTACTTCGATTAAATAAGATACATAATTAGTAACAAAACAATCTCTTGAAGATTATTTTTTGTCTATTAAGTAATGTAACATGAGAAAAAAAAAACTTTCATGAATAAAAGGTATGTGATCGGGGGAGGGAGCATATCGTGTCATAGTTAGTAAACTTTCAGTTCTTTTCAATCAAAATCGTATTTTTTTTGCTAAGAACAAGATTGTTTGATTAGACAAAAGGAAAGTCTAGCACTTCTTACTTTAAAAATTGTGCATTCACAACTTCAATTCTGAAAAAACTTTCTTACTCTGCCACTTTTTTCACTGCGCTATATCCCTGATAAACAGTAGTAATGTTATATATGTAACGCATGATCATGTGGTATTTACTGAGTCACTATGACGTTCTCAAATTTTTCATATTTGCGTATAAAAGGAAAGAAAAACGAATGTTTCTTTTTATTTATTGACTATATTGATTTCATTATCGCTGACAGCTTGCATATATTTCGTTCATAATGCTCAGTAATTGGTTGTTGTATATTTTTGCAACTATTATTGCAATATTATTTTTTAAACCTTACGTTGATGAAGATCTGTTAGCATTAACAGGATATCATCGCGTAGCAATATTTCATCGAATATATTCCTTACGAAATAAACTTTTACCATTTCTACATCCTGGATCCATAACAATGGATCCAGATTCAAAAGCATTAGATGAATTAATTTCACTATATCATCCAAAACTTGATTTAAGTGAAAATTTAACAAAGAATGACATTGAAGAATTTCGTTATCATTCAAAACGAATATTAACTGCTTTATT